TTGAGAAAAATCAATGCTAGAAAACATGCAGCACCCATTTTAATATTGTGTTGTTTACTAGCTCTCAAAAAGATGTCAGTAAACCTTGGTCCATGTTTTGTAGAGTTCAAAGCTGAACCTGCTACCAACTTGGATTCACAGCAAGGGTCTTATTTTCAAATTCCAATGACATTTTTCCTGTTCATCAATTTCATGTTTTTTATCTGTTTGACTGAACTTGCATTTGGCTGGAGTGTGTGTAAATTTGAGCATTCAACAACATGAAAAATGCTTGATTTGGAGATAAATAATCAAAATCAACATCATCAAAATGATAGAAAGCATAGTTAGTAGAGTAATTTAAGTACGATCTTTGAGTAAATTTGTATGTAAAGGTTAATCTAAAACAAACTGAAAATAAAACTGGATTTACAACAGTTTTGTAATTGATGATTTTCTTCATATTCACATGTGTATGCTGATAAATGGCAATCACCTATAAATTACCAAGAGAGAGAGACAGAGATAGGGAGAGGGAAACACAGATTATTGTCACATAATGGTTAAAGACAATGTACATTGTGTTGCACAGTGTCAGCACGGACTCGGGCAAGGCTAGCTGTGACAGTATAACTAAAAAGGAGTGCCAGAAGGTAACACAGACATGAGGGTGCCCTGGGACATAAAGCAGCCAGCCTCTCCACCATCAACAAACCTGAGTGAACGAGTGATGGGGGGCATCCCAGTTCACCAAAACAGTCTATGCCTGTGAACCTAAGAAAAAATTATTATCAAAAGGTTTTGACTAAACAAATATCTTTTCAGCCTAGACCTAAACACTGAGACTGTGTCTGAGTCCTGAAAACTAACTGGAAGGCTGTTCCATAACTGTAGGACTATCTAAGAGAAAGCTCTGCCCCCTGCTGTAGCCATCACTATTTGAGACACCAACAAACAATCTGTACCTTTTGACTGAAGTACGTAGGTCATAAAAGACCAGAGGTTCGCTCAGGTACTGCAGCACGAGACCATTCAGTGCTTTATAGGTCAATAGTTGTATTTACTTGGGAGCCAATGCAGTGTGGATAAGATAGGGGTGATGTGGTCATATATTTTTGTTTTTAGCACCTACTGGAACAGACAGTAAGGCATTACAATAATCCAACCTAGAGGTAACAAAAGCATGAACTAGTTTTCTGCATTGTGGAGTGACATTATATTTCTTATCTTAGCAATATTTCCGAGATGAAAGAAGACTATACTAGCAATATTATCTATATGAGCTTCAAATGAAAGACTGGAGTCAATAATCACACCAAGGTCTTTTACTGCTGCACATGATGAAACAGAAAGGCCATCCAGTGATACTATGTAATCAGGAAGCTTACTTCTAGCTGCCTGTGGTCCTAGTACAAGTACTTCTGTCTTATCAGAATTAAATAGAAGGAAGTTAATTCCAGTGTTAATTCCAATATACAGTGTCTAATGTCCTTTACACATTCCTCAACTTTATTAAGCTGGTGTCTGTCTGTCATCAGGCCTTGCTGAAACATAAAACTGTGTTATCAACATAACAGTGGAAGCTAATACCATGTTTATCAATAATTTTGCCCAGAGGTAGCATATATAAAGAAAAAAAGCAGTGGCCCTAAAATAGAGCCTTGCAGAACACCAAACTTTACCTTTTTATGTGTAGAGAAGACACCATTTACATCTACAAACTGATAACGATCAGTCAACTAAGACCTGAGCCAGGAGAGGGCCGTTCCTTTAACTCCAACAATATTTTCTAGTCTATCAAGTAGAACAGCATGATCAGTGGTGTCAAAAGCTGCACTAAGGTCAAGCAACACAAGCAAGGAGACACAACCCTGATCAGAGGCCAGTAGTAGGTCATTTACCACTTTAACCAGTTCTCTCTTTTTACTATGATGGGGCCTAAATCCTGACTGATACACTTCATGAATGTTATTTGCAAGTATGTGCATAGCTGCTGTGCTACAACCTTTTCTAGGATCTTGGAGATAAATGGGCGGTTTTGATAGTTGGACAGCTGACAGGGGTCTAGGTCAGGTTTTTTAATCAGGGGTTTCATAACATCTAGTTTAAAAGATTTTGGTACATAGCCAAACTTAAGGGAAGAATTGATTATTTTTAGAAGAATTTCAATTGTTTCTGGTTTGAAGAAAAATGTAGGTAAGGGATCTAGTACACAAGTTGATGATTTTGATGAGGAAATCAGTTGAGTCTCTCCAAGGAGAGTAAAACATTCTATTCTCTGATCTGATATAATTATACTATTATGTACAGGGTTAGTTATAAAACTGTCTGGCTTTAAATTTATAGTTTGAATTTTATAGTTCAGGAGACTCTCCTTCTATGCTGTTTGAAATACTACCAATTTTGTTTACTTTCTAACTCAAAGTTCACGGTTCTTTATTTGTCACATACATATTACATACATGTGATGTAATGTAGTGAAATGTTGTTCCTTAGTTCCATTAATTTTTGAGTGGTCTGTTTCTTGTGTGATGTATGCCAGGGTGTGTGTATAACAGGGTGGTAGTTTTTTCCTCCCTAATTATTATTATTATTATTATTATTATTATTATTATTATTATTATTATTATTATTATTATTATTATTATTATTTTAAGTGGAGCTACCTTATCTAGCATGTAGCGGAACGTTGACTCTAAGCATTCAGTTACCTGGTCAAGTTCTGGGGTCAGATGGTGATCCAATTATAGTTGATAACTCTGGGAGATTACTGATAAAACTGTGCAGTAGCTGACGTGAATGAACGTTTGATGTGGTAGTGTGGCAAGGTGCATACATTATGACTAAGACACTATTTAAATGAGATGAGATAATGATCTGAGATAGCTTCAGACTGGGGATATGTGACTATATTTTCTGTATTTAATCTGAATGTTAGTATTAGATCAAGAGTGTGACCACCATTATGAATGGGTCCTATTATGTTCTGATTAACCCCTACTGAATCTAGAACGGATACAGCCGCTGTTCTCAGAGGGTCGTCCGGGTTATCAGAATGAATATTAAAGTCTCCAACAATTAATGCTTTGTCTAAAGAAACAACCAGGTTTGAGATGAAATCCACAAATGCACAAAGGAATTCAGAATCTGGCCATGGCGGATTGTAAATAATAATTAGGTGAATCAACTGGGTAGACATATTTTTTTGCTAAAATTATTTCTAAAATTATTTAATTTGTGTGTATTTAAAATAAGCGATTTGAACTTGACATCATAATCCATGTATAAAAATGCAGTTAGATTCATAGGCAATTGCTTGAAGTTTATGTTAATTAGTCTTCTTATGCACAATCTTATACACACTCAAGTGCAGGAGTAGGATACAAAAGTATTTCCAAATTTACAGGTTTTCATAAATACCAAATTTCTTGTGTAAATTCGCTTTTTTTTTTTTTGAGTGATGCAAATGCAAAACCACAGTTTACTATCATTATTATTATTATTATTATTATTATTATTATTATTATTATTAATATACAATGGCCATTTTTGTGTCATGGCACACTTACAGTTTAGCTCCAACCTCCAAATTGACCTGTCTGTAATTTTCTAATCCTTAAGACTTGTTCAGTTAGCTGGTTAGCTTGTTCAGGAGTATTTGATTAATTATTTGGATGTTGGAGCTAAACTCTGCAGATTCACTGTTACCAGTCAAATCTAGTACCATTTAAGCCTCACTGACAAGCATAAGCTATTGTATGTCAATCATAAACATAAGTATTGTAAAATAATGTTCATTTTTAAAATTATTTATGCTTATATTACATCTATTCATTTCTCAAATTGCATGAATAATGTAGGCTTTTCCCCAGAATTCTACTAATCCTAGCTCTGTAACCAATTTTTACAGCAGAATGCTACTATAGAAGACTTATATCATTGAAAAGTCAGTTTTGTATGTGGTCCTCTACCAGAGATATTCAACCCGAAAGTGAGGGGAATTTTTTTAAAAAATTGCACTTTCTCGTCATCATAAAAAAATAAGTTCTAAGCCTAAAGAACAAGAATCTGCAAAATATTTATTTATGTACATGTACTTTGTAATGTGCTCTAGAGGAGCTAAGACCATCCTGAGCTGAGATATTGAGGTTTCTGTAAACAGCTCTATAATAACCTAAATTTGTTGTGGGCCATGACACTAAGATGGCCATCGTAGTTAAACCAAGTAAAATTAAAATAAAAAAAAATGTGGTTTTGCTATGCCAATACATAATCACTTGTGAATGCCAATTAATATCAATTTAAAATGGTCAAGCAACCTGTATTGGCCCACTTGAGATGGAATGACCCTCATATAAATGATTTACCTATAAACCCATTTGTATCCAAATTGATAATGAGGCCCATTGTTGTTAATCACAATTACGCACACAGGAGGCTCAAACTAAAAAGGGGTTTTAGTGTCAACTTGTAATTTAAATGTGAATCAAAATGCACCGACATGGATCTTTATCACCCCGTTAGTCCATTAATTGAGTAATTGAAGCATTTGCCTACAAGAAGCAACATGTAGAGCTGGGTGTGGTGTTTTGGGCAGAAGGGCTTTTCAAAGACATTTAGAGATCTTAGCATATTTGTAAGTTATTATATAACTGAATATCAGACATGACAGTCTGTTTTTTATTCATTGATTTTCAGTAAGCGCTATATCTTGTTCAAGGTCATGGTGGCTACCAAGCCTATCCTGGGAACACAGGGAACAAGGCAGGGATACACACTGGATGGGATGTCAGTCCATTGCAGAGCACCATGCAAACAATCATTCATACCAAGGAGCTATTTAGCATTTCAACTATTTTTTGGAGGTAGGAAAAAACTGACATGGACATGGAAAGGACATGCACCAACAATACCCTAAGCTCAGGATCTTTCAGCAGTTTGTTTATATTAAGTATGAATTAGTTGATTTGGCCTGGCTAGAAACCTGGCTCACCTTTATTTGTAAATAATACCTGGGTTAGTACCCTGTGATGGGCTTAAAACCACAAACCTGAGAGCAAGAGTCCCATGCGCTACCAACTGAGCTAGCCAGGCACCCTAGATAAATGAAAGTGATTAATTGATATACAGTACATTTTGCACTTGTGACAAAATAGTTATATTCATTGTATATAAGGTGCTTCAAATAAGTTGTATGTAAACGTTTATTCTATGAGACTGGGTTGGCACAAAATTTGAAAGTAGCACGACTCTAACCATAGGCCATGGTTCTGCAAGGGAAAACAAAACATTCATAACCACAGCAGGCTCTCCTGTGTAATTGAGAAGGCTTTTCTTTATTGCTGACAAACTACAATGTGTGTAATTAACTTGGAGCTATTGGGGCACAGCTCTAAGAGCAAGCCTATTCGTTATGATGTTTCTATCTCAGCAGCTGTGTTTTTACTTACAGTTGCACAATTAAAGAATGGAACCTGACACGGGTGTCTGGCATTCTCCATCTGCTTGGGTGTTTTTTTGGTTTGTTTTGCTGAGATGGCTCCACCTGAGAGTTCTAGGATCCAATAGGAGACCAAATTTTTCATCAATTTTAAATATAATATTTTAAAATAAGTTTATCAACAACACATATATAAGCTTAAAGGCACTTTGGCATAGACTCTTTCTGTCTCTAGAACTGTACTGAAGGGATGACCACCCCACCATTCTTCCAAAGATATTACCTCAGTTGATGATTTAATGATGATGGTGTTCAATGGTCGCATAGGTTTTCAATTGGGCTGTCAGCTGGTGACTATGAAGACCATAGCATGTGATTTACATAATTTCCATCCTCATCAAACCATTCAGGGAGCCCTTATGCTCTGTGGATGGGGACGGAGTCATCCTGGATGACACCACACCCATCGGGTTTCATCACAGGATAAACATGATCAGTCTGAAGAGCTTTGTATTGATTGGCAGTGTATTTTACTAACAATATCAACAAACAATATTATAAGGCATAAGATATTGCTATCATCATGGCTTTTAGGAGTAAACAATAGTTTGCATCGCAAATGTCTGCAAAAAGAGCTGCCCAACCCAATACAATTTTATTCTGCTCCATTTATTGTTTTGTTTTTCAGTATATCACATTGGAGAGCTTAATTTTAAGTTCTTGAGTTCTCACATCCTCAGTTCCTTTGTACCTTTGTTAAGGGAGGAGGAAAAAAAGAACACCTTTCCTGGAGCTTGTTTTCGTCAATTTGTTTCCATTTAACCCTGCTAGAGTTCAGGCTTTGCTTCATTGTGTCTGGGGCCACGATTTAATGCTTTACAATATCTGTTTGTATTTACTTAATGGGTGGGCTTGGAAAGGGTCTGGCACTCAGTAATCCTTTGCTTTCAATTACTGATCACAGCTTGGCTCTGCCACCAGATAGGAGAAAAGGTTATTCTTAGAGTGCTACCCCCAGCTCCCCCTCCACCTCTCCAACCAGAGAATGCTGCTTCTGCATTTGAAACTGCAGTTCATGCTAAGCAGTTCATTTCTCTTCACATTAGTGTGATTTTCCAGGAACACTGCTTTTGTGGAAATCAAGGGTAAATTTTTTTTTTGGACAACAAATTCCCACCTGCGTTGAACAAATATGCCCCTCTGTACCCAATGATGTGGTTGTAATTTACTGAGGTACAGTTTGAGTGCACCTGAACTTGTAGGGATTTATTAAGGAGCCTGATGCTTCTAGAGCAGTGGTTCTCAATCTGTGGCATATTTTAACTCATACTTACAGACCCCCCAATAATATGCATCTATTAATATATAATTAAAATGTATATGATGTATAATAATAATAATAATATTTAAAAACCTAGTTTACACTACATATTTTTATAAACCAACAAGTGTCAAATTAAAAGTTTCAGTTCAGTAATTAGATTCGATATACTGCCTGCTATTCATATAGCTTTAACATTAACAGTGACATTTTTGTACATTGACATTAACATTGACCTAGAGGTTTAATTTTACCCATCAATGTTAAACAGTTTTTGCAGGTTGGGGTGAATAGTAAAATGTTCACACATTTTATTGCTAACATTACACTTGACTTGATTATCACCCTGACCTATCATTTGTTTAACTCATCACTGTTGGACACAATGCAAACTTTGCAAACCTTCCAGAATGAGCAAGCTATGCTACATTACTGACAGAGTTGTGAATGCACATGACTAATCATATAGATAAATTTTAAAAGGCCTGAGCTTTTCTGAAATTTAATGGGCCTAAAAATGTTTTTAAAGTATATTCTGAAATATTTAACAAAAATACTACTTGTGCTTATGTTAAATATTTTTCTGCAATGAGGGATGCAGAGCAGGCCAAAGTTTGTTTTGGTTGTCAATTCCAATAGCTCACACCTTGCATACAACATCCCTACCCCACCCTTCAACCCACAGTCATGTTGTTTTTATAGTAAGAATTAGATATAATTATCAAGAGCTTCTTTTCGACCTACTTCCTCTAGGTTGTTGTCTTTCAGAGTACAACTTATCAAGAAGTAGAACACAACAAAAGAAAACCCCACTTGACTTGTTTAGGTTGGGACTCTTATACCCTGCAATACTCTTAGCATCTGTTTGCCTCATTTATCTCTGTCAGTTTGCCTGTCATATGTAAAAAGATGAATCGAGCTTCTCTCTCCCCTCATTATGTTGGTAGTCAAAACAGCAAGGAGCCTAGCAGTAATTAGCTTTTGCGTCTCAAAACTACAACCACCTATTGAAATGCTGTCATGCCTGTTGGACAGAAACCCAGGGAAATTTAAGTTCTCGTTACACAATACTTTGAGCCTCACCAAACTTCACCATCAAAAGATGAGCTAAGCCACGTCACAAATATCAAAGCATTGCAGAGAATGTGAACTAGGCTCAACTGAGTTGCAGTTCCATTGGGCTGTGTACACCATGCATAGAACATTTACAGAGTTTGGAGACTGCGCTTAACTACGAACTGTCAAGTCAGCAATCTGAATACCTGTTTGGAATCTCACCTATCCCTTGAAATAACCCAGACTCGCACTCACTCGTTGCAATGTCTTGCTCCAGATTCTATTGTGTGATGTTATAGAGGGCCACACCTCCAACAATTTAGTTGGAGTGGTACTAATTAGTGAAGTGAAGTGACTTGTGGCCAAGTATGGTGACCCAGAATTTGTGCTTTGCATTTAACCCATCCAAGTGCACACACACCCAGAGCAGTGGGCAGCCTTTTCTTTTGTTTGCAGCACCCAGGGAGCAGTTGGGAGATCAGTACCTTGCTCAAGAGACTCACCTCAGTCATGGTATTGAGGGTGGAAGAGAGCGCTGGTCATTCACTCCCCCCCACCATTAGGCCATGACTGCCCCAAAATATATATATGAAAGTGTGTGTAAATTCTCCCTTGTCTGATCTAATGGCTGTATCTGTGTAGTTGGTCTCTGGGCCAATGAGTCAAATAGTAAACCAGAACTAGCAGACGATGGCTTCGATCCATCGACCTCTGGGTTATGGGCCCAGCGCGCTTCCGCTGCGCCACTCTGCTAATCACGCACCCCAGATGGGACTACAAACCCACAATCCCTGGCTTAGGAGGCCAGTGCCTTATCCATTAGGCCACTGGGGCACTTGGATCCTTGCACCAGACCCCTCATAACTCACCTTGACAAATACAACAGAGATTTAGCCAAATGTCAAGGTTTTCTGTTACAATACTCACTATAGTTTGTCTCTCAAACCATAAAGCTAACCAAAATAAAATGTTGTATTGATGATGTATGGCTAAATGAAAGTGAAACTAGGAGTACCTTGTTGAATTGTTCCATAGTGTGTTTGACCATACACCCAATGGCAAAAAGCCAGACAAATGCCTATTAACCCTGAAACAAGAATGCTTAAAAACAGAAAAGGGGACAATTCCCCCTCGAGAATCCATCATCAGAAAGAACTAAAGAAGTGCCTATTACTGTGCAATGCCCCAAATGGCCTGCTCAAAAAACAGCTTTTTGTTGTGGACAGCACATGGGAGAATGACAACAAACTAATGTAATGAGTACATCCTATGCCATTTCTGCTAAACCATTACATATACTGGTTGGACCATGCAGACATTGCATTCTCCCTTTCAGTACTCAATATGAAAGTGATCTTGAACATAGCTCATCAGATTCCCATGCAACCCTTGAAGGGTTCAATCTGTGTACAACCATTGGATTAAAAACAAGTCCATGAGGGAGTCACCATGCACCAAAACAATTACCCTGCACATAGACACAAGTGCCATCAATACTGAAGTAAGCTCTCTCCTCATCACAGAATAGACGTTGTGTCAATTATTGTGGCCATAACCAAATCACAGACATAAGTTCCATTATCCACTGCCCTTTGTGCCCTCAGACTTTGACGTCCACACTGTATATAATCCCATCAGTATCTGAGGATGATTAGAGTGGAAGATAGCTTGCAGTACTGGCCACTGATGAATGCCATATGGCTTGGTCATTGCCCCCTCAGTCTTCCAGGCGTTTGTAAATTATGTTCTCTGGGACATGTTTGGTAAACTTGTTATAGCCTGTGTATACAATATTCTGATATATTCTAATTCTCTACAGAACAAGCTACAAAATGCCAAGCAAGTCTTGAAAAGACTTCAAGCCAATATCTTTTTCATTAAAAGAGAAAAATGTGAATTCCACAGACCAGATCATAAGGGCTAACTCTGGGGCAATGAGCTGGGGCAATTCTTGAAATGCCATCATGACAGCTGGTGCAGTTCCTCTCACAAACACAATACATTTACAGACAATGGGCCTCATTTATCAAGCTGAATTATGAATGGATTTATGTGTAAATTTTTACACAAGAAATCTGGTGTTCATGAAAATCATGTAAATTTGGATAAACAGTCATTTTCTACACATGCTTCTGTGTTGTGCTGGGAATGCACTTACAGGTGATCGATATATGCGCATGAGTATGAAGAAAATCAGCCTTTGTAAAACCTTTGCATATCTGGCAGAAATCTTTTCTTTTATTTGGCTTAGGCAAACCACTACACACAGCTTTACTA